ACATGAAAATAAAATTCTGTAAAAGTCCAACATTTTTAAATGTCTGTCATTTACTCCTGCAATTAATTGTCCACTGTTTCATTTCAAGACTAGTTTCTTGGAACAAAATGAAAAATTCATAGAACTTAATTCATTGAACGTTATACTTATTAGATTTTGTCAGTCAAGTTCACAGGAAGATGATGTTATTAGCTCAAAAAGTTATTTATTGTTATTGTTCAGATCCGACGACTACCTGCCGTTCTGTACCTAGACTCTCGAAAAGAAGGTAGCGCAGAGTTGGAAGCTTTGCTCAGAGAAACCTATGGGCTACCGCTGGTGGCGTTTTATGTGGATAAAGTAAGGAACGAGCTTATTTACTCTGGCAATAGGTTACACTATTTATGTCTAAAAATTAATTTAGATTGGTAAGCCACAATTGGCTCAGAAAAATCTGCAGCATTTAACGGCCCATAAAGGCTTGCCATATCTTTTTATTTGTGGCACATTTATAGGAAGTGAGTCGTTTTGGGTGACTTTTGAATCATATTGATTTTGTGAACTGAATTCTTCTATTTTAGGCGAACAACATATCCAAAATTATCATAAGAATGGACAAATTCCTCAACTAGTTGAATACGTGTGCGGAGACGAAAAGAAGAAGAAGAGCAAGGCTAAAAAGACGTCTTCTTGAGCCCCTGTCTATAATCCCGAATATTTATTGTATTTATTTCAAGATTTCATCTTGAAAACACTTGTTTATGGGCCCTGCTGACCACCTCTGTTGAACTCCAGCGGGAATCACCCATTGCTTTCCTTGTTCTGCTCCGTTCTCCGTTATGAATTCTGCTAGTCTCACATCGCCAAAGCCTCAGATCGATGTCTGCAGAAGGTCTGCTGCCAATCATCCGCTTGTTTTTCGCTGCTTTTCAACTTATCGGGCAGTTGAATAAATAATTTTTTTTGATTTTGACGATGACTGGGTATGGTTAGTGAGTGTCATGCTGCGCACTCATCCTACTGTTCGCCTAGTAATCCCTCCGCGGAGCAGGTGTCAACAACGGGGAAATCTTCTTCTTTGAATAAGCCTATTTCTCGCTGGAATATGAACAGAGCCGGTTTTAAGCTCCTGGACGAGCCCGAAATTTGCTTCTTGTTTTTTAAATAGAGTTCTGGAATTGCGTTTTTAATCCAAAGTACACACAAGCAGGCTGAGAAAGAATAGCAAATTAGATGCAAATAATTCTAGGGAACATTTGCCATCACTACAAGAGGATATTTCTTCAATTCTCTCATATAGCTTCAAACACTCCATATCAGAATTTCTCAGAAAATTGGAAGTACAGTGTCCCAAAAAAACTTTTTTGATTGAAACTCAATCCTGTATTTCAAAATCATCGCTATGTTGTCTAATGTCTCAAATTTTGACTGTAGTTGAGCTTATCTTCAATGTGAAGATTTTCCAAAAAGTTCGGAAAGCAAATCTTAAAACAAGAATTGATGATGTTTTAGAAGATTTTGTATGCTTATGTGTATAAGCTTTCTGGCATCAAATATAATTTACTTTATTTTTTTAACCGTAATTCGGACTTCAGTTGTTATAAGAATATGGTAGATGAGATGCAATTGGAGAAATGGTTAACATTCAAGCATATGCGCTAACTGCGTTTTTAGTGCTTTAAGCATTTTGAAAAGATTAGCCTTAGTTGTAAAACTTTCAGTTCAAACAAAGTTAATTACTGACTCTCCAAGGCTGCTCGAAATACAGTATGTACAACAAAATAGAAATAAAAAAAGAAAAAAGTCAGTGATTTGTGGAAAATAAAGTAACAGGCATTACTGCCAAACAAGCGTCCTATTTGCTTTATTTTAAGCACGGAGTAGACAAAGTAGTGATGGCTGTCAAATGTTTCCATCTTTCTCAGTCCTAAAATTAGAAAAAGCTTCCTTTATGATCAGAACAGTTCTTTCTTGAGTAGTTTAGAGTCCAAAAGAGAAATGTTGATGTTAGTTCGTGGCGAACTCCAAAAAATCTCTAAAAAGTGAGACTATAGCTCACTAAGCCATAGTAACTTCATAAATTCTCGCTTTGTTCTAATGCTCCTCTCTATGTTGACGGTTTTACAAATTTTTCAATGAAGTGCATGTTCGCTGATTCTAAACATTTTAAAAACAGGTATGTGAATACAGTATCCCAAAAATTGCTTGGGATTTCGCAATGACACTTTTCTTTTAATTCTAACTAACTTGACATCGCACCTCATCCATCGTTTTTTGACTTTTAGAAACAACTCATTTTCCAAATTCACGGTATGATTCGAGATTCCATTGTTGGGAGCAACATAATGGAATTTAGAAAGATTGCTTAGAGCCCTAAATCTCATAGCGTTAAATCAAGGTCGCTGTCGGCCCAATTCTCCAATGCAAACGGCGAGCACCATAAAGTGAATGCGACTTGCGCTACGGGATATCGCACCATATCTCAGCTGATAATGAGGGTGCAAATGAGAAAGTCGGGTGTCACAAAGGCCTTAGAGCCTTATATGTTCTTCTTCAGGATGGACGAAAAATGCCTAGTCTCATGTTGTTTTTTTTTTTCCTTAAATCAATCTCAATGTCGTTTTTTCTGACAAAAAAAAAGCTTATGCATGAAATTCTATTAAATGTACAAATGTCTATAAGAACTTGTGACAAAATCAATAAGACGATGAAGAATTCGAAACAGGCACATTTGGACATTTTCGAGGTTAACGTGACACATGAAAAAGCAACGCGCAATGATACTCGTAGTCGTTAAATTAGCGTATTAGGGATACTGTAACGTTGTAGAGTACGGTAAGTGTGAATTACAATTGGCAGCCGTAGGGAGAAGAAAGAACAATGGTTGGAAATGAGATTGTAGAAAGAATTACTCATGCCTAGCACCAGTTAAACATGTGATACAAAAACAATTTTGACCGAATGCTTTCACACAAGGAGTTGGACCAATGCCAAATGCTAAAGGGGGAGGAGTGATGGTAAAAGTAGCTGAGGATGGAATTGGTGTGATGACTTGCTCCCCACCTCGTAGAGCCGACAATTGCTTCTGCAGCTCGTGATTTCGAATTGTCAACTGGCGAATCCTGGGAAAAAGTTCAAAAAAGCTGTCAAATTGTAAATAAAATATGAAAAAAAAGCTTACCAGTTGCTAGCGAGTAGT